TTTCAGATGGCATCTGACCTGACAAGGTAATAGAGTTAGTCTAATAAAATGATGGCATTTCAGTCTGTACCATCCTCAATAGATACTTTTGCCTTATGCTTAGGTGGCAGGTTCTGCATTCTTCATAAGTCGATTGTGAGATCTTGTGCATAGTTACTTCATGCCCAAATGTATTTCACAGTATTTTTGAAACCTTCACTATTCTCTAGTATTTACTCTATTTCTCAGGTGCTTCATATAAGAAAAATCAAAGAACAGCATTGTGCTTTTTATTTTTTTTAACTTGCATTAGTTCTTTTTAATTATATTTAACAATAAGATTTATTTTCACATAATTGTAAAACCATGGAATATAATATGTTCTAATTCAGTCCCCACCACTTCCCCTGACCCTCTCCTCCTCCCTCTCCCTATTCTCTTCCCTCTACTCTACTGAGCATAATTCATAATTACCAAGCCTTGTACTCTTTCTCTGGTTACCCAAATTCCCCTAAACTCTGTTCTCACCTACAAAGTATCAGTCATGGTAATTCACACCAAGCTATATTTCCAGATTGTAGAGAAAAATTAGATTGAAAATGGAGAACATTTATATAAATTTTTATCCTTAAAGATGATGGATGAATATAGGAAAGGGTTATCATTTCTGATCCTCTGGTCATGTTTCTCTCCTTGTAATCTTTCTATAAGCTAGGGAATTATTATACACATACAGTGAAAACTTCTCCCACAAGGTGGAAACCAATTTAAAAAAAAAAAACAAACTTTAAAGTCATATTTTCTAAGATGGGCTAGGCATAATATTCACGTTTTTCTTATCTGTTTCTAATAAATAAATGTTTTTATTTTGTAGGTCTGCAACAATTTTCCTGCTCTCATTGATTATTTCCCAGGGAGTCATAAAACATTTCTCAAGAATTCTTCTGATGTAAAACAGCATTTTTTGAAGAAAATAAAGGAACACCAAGAATCCCTAGATATGAACAATCCTCGGGACTTCATCGACTACTTCCTGATTAAAATGGAAGAGGTAGAATGTGAACAACAGCTCAGTTATCTGATTGCTTCTACATTTTGTGGTTCATTGATTAATCTGTGGTTGCTAGGGCTAGTTCAGTGGTCAGGCAAGATATTCTTGACAAGCACTTTAAGCACATCTCATCTTTATAGATATGAATGAATTATCATAGAAAAATTAAAATTGAATAGTTAAACAGCTAGAATACATGGATACTGTTCTATAGAAACTAAGAATCTACCTGATGAATGACAAAATTCACACCTCAGGTGATAAGGAAATAATTATAGACAAGCTACAAAATATAAAATTGGATTGTTTGTACACAGTGTATAAGAGAATGGGAAACTCTACAATGGTCAGACTGTGTAATGGCTCCTCAGTGATTCAGATCAAGTGACCAAAACATACAAAGGCGGATTTTGTAGGACAGGATCCCTGTTGCCTATTCTAAGATCAACCAGATGCAAAAAGAGTACAGACCAGTATCCTCACAGCTGCCTACTATGGATGCTGCTCTATGGGGAAGAGTAGCTGGTTCATGAGACACTGAGATTTATGAGAACTTTTTTAATCAAATATTTCCCTGGATAATATATTTTCAACTAGATTCCAGAGTTCCAAAACAGTTGCTTCAAACAGTTCATACTAGGTCAGTTGTTTCTTGACTTATACATGGAAGTTGTTATTCTACCATCTTTGAGTTGTTACTTCTGTACTGTATTTTTTTAAAGGTTTTTATTAATACATTAGAATTATCCATAAGAGTGGGATGTATTGTGATATATCCATACATGCACGTAGCACAAATTTGTCAGTTTCTTTCCCATATACTTCCTATTTCCTCCCTCTTCTCCTTTAACCCCATTCCCTTTCTCTACTGTCCTTGTCTTTTTTCCATTTTGACAATGTCTCTTTATAATTTTTATGTCTGTCTAACTGCTACATATGAGAGAAAACACATGACCCTTGACTTCATGAGTCTGGTTTATCTCACTTAGCACTATGTTCTCCAGTTCCATCTATTTCCTTGAAAATGACATTTCATTCTCTAAGATTGAGTGGAACTTTATTGTGTATACATACCACATGATCTTTATCTATCTATCTGTTGATGGATACATATGTAGGTTTCATAACTTTGGCATTGTGAACTGTACTGCTATAAATGTGTATGCATGCATTGCTAGAGTATGTGACTTTAATTCTTTGGGATAAATATCAAGGAGTGGGATAGATTAGACATTTTGTGTTTCCATTACTACTCTTTTGGAGAAATTTCATTGTGATTTTCATAGTGATTAAACTAATTAACATCCTAACAACTATGTAATATTGTACTTTTTTCTTCACATTTTTTTCAAACATTTCTTATTGTTTATTTTTTCCATTTATTTTTATCCCTGGATTTCAGCTGTACATAGTGGTAGGATTTGTTGTTACATATTTATACATGCACACAATATCACAATGTCATTCAATCAAAATCATTTTCTAGTATTTTCACTTTCTCTCACCTCCTCACTTCCCCTGTTCCCTTTCTTCTACTCTACTGATTTCCCATTGATTTTCATGGGATTTCCCCCAACTTTCCTTTTCTTATTTAATTCCTTAGGATGATTATTGAGGAGTGATATAGCTGGGTCATGTGGTGGTTCCAGTCCTAGTATTTGAGGAACCTTCATAATGATTTCCATAGTGGTTGTGCCAATTTACAATCCCACCAACAGTGTAAAAGTGTCTTACTTTTTCCTTTACATCATCTCTGGCATTTATTATTTTTTGTGTTCTTGATGACACACAATCTATTTGGAGATTAAATCTCAGTGTCATTTCAGTTTGAATTTCCTTAATGGCTAAAATGCTGATTATTTTTTATATACTTGACCATTTGTATTTATTTTGAGAAGTGTGTGTTTAGTTCATTTATGATCATAAATTGCCTTTTAAGGGGCTGTTTGCACAGGAATCTGACTCTGCTCCACTTTGCCTGTCCTCCCAGATGTTCCTTTGAAATCTTGGTGGAATCCTTCATGACTCCCTAATTCCAGAATCTTGCATTAATGCAGTACCAACACTACATGGTCGACACCAAGATTTGCAGCAAACAAGGCTCAAGGGACCATGGATACAGCAGTCTCTCTGACTGCAT